CCTCACACAGCTCTCTGGTCTTGGACATTGTGGAGAGGTTGGAGTCTGTTTGATTGAGTGTGTGGACAGGTGTCTTTTATACAGGTAACGAGTTCAAACAGGTGCAGTTAATACAGGTAATGAGTGGAGAACAGGAGGGCTTCTTAAAGAAAAACTAACAGGTCTGTGAGAGCCGGAATTCTTACTGGTTGGTAGGTGATCAAATACTTATGTCATGCAATAAAATGCAAATTAATTACTTAAAAATCATACAATGTGATTTTCTGGATTTTTGTTTTAGATTCCGTCTCTCGCAGTTGAAGTGTACCTATGATATAAATTACAGACCTCTACATGCTTTGTAAGTAGGAAAACCTGCAAAATCGGCAGTGTATCAAATACTTGTTCTCCCCACTGTATATATATACTGTATTCTATGCTACTTCACTGTATCTTAGTCTATGGCGCTGTAACATCAATTGTCCATATATAAATATATATTCTTAATTCATTCCTTACTTAGATGTCTCGAAGTGTATTGGGTATACGTTGTGAAATTGTTCAATATTACTGCACTGTCGGAGCGAGAAGCACAAGCATTTGGCTACACCCGCAATAACATCTGCTAAACACGTATGTGAGCAATAACGTGTGATTTGATTTGACCTGATTGTAGTAGTAGTAGTAGTAGTAGTAGTAGTACCAGTAGTAGTAGTAGTACCAGTAGTAGTAGTAGTAGTACCAGTAGTAGTAGTAGTACCAGTAGTAGTAGTAGTACCAGTAGTAGTAGTAGTAGTAGTACCAGTAGTAGTAGATTCCTTAAAGAGGTAGGGTTTCAAGTGTCTCCGCTGTCCTGGCGTTGTGGGGGAGCTTGTTCCACCATTGGGGTAAGCAAATAGCTTTGACTGGGCTGAGCGGGAACTGTGCTTCTGTAGAGGTAGGGGAGCTAGCAGGCCAGAGGTGGATGAACGTAGTGCCCTCGTTTGGGTGTAGGGTCTGATCAGAGCCTGAAGGTAAGGAGGTGCCGTTCCCCTCACAGCTCCGTAGGCAAGCACCATGGTCTTGTAGTAGATGCGAGCCTCAACTGGAAGCCAGTGGAGTGTGCGGAGGAGCGGGGTGACATGAGAGAACTTGGGAAGGTCGAACACCAGACGGGCTGCAGCGTTCTGGATACATTGTAGGGCTTTAATGGCACAGGCAGGGAGCCCAGCCAACAGCGAGTTGCAGTAATCCAGACGGGAGATGACAAGTGCCTGGATTAGGACCTGTGCCGCTTTCTGTGTAAGGTAGGGTCGTACACATAAGGCTGATTCACACCATAGGGCCACAACAAAACTGTTCTGGGTTGCTCTGCCTGGTTATGCATCCACCACAGTGGAAATGTGCTGGAAAGGACATCTTCAGAGAAAATACCCCGAGCCAGCAGAGAAGGGTTCAGGTCAGCCCAATAATGTGGATCAGGCTCTCGGGTGTGTTGTCCCCGGGACCCTTTCACATTTCCTCTCAAACTTCATGGAATTCTCTTGTCTATTTTGATAATGTACAATTGTCGTATGTGAGGCTATGGGATATTGTAATGAAACAATGTTGGTGGCCAAAGTTCATAGCAGTGTCCGATGCTCGGGTTAATATGTGACATTATCAACTGAAAATGATAAGGGTCGATTGAAGATTTGACTGTAATTTGTGTTCTCTATAAATGCACACTGACATCTGGCAGCTTGACATCCAGACACAGAAGGGTTAGTGTAAGTGTCCTAAAGAGCCTCTGTGTCCCCATCCTAAATCACACGCACTCTACAATAATTCCCACTAAATACATCCGTCTTCACATCTGGCTGTTGCTCTTTGGTTCAACACGCATCTATCCACCCCTCTCTTTTCTACAATAGGAACACACTGTTCTCTGGAAAGAGGGGTGGGTGCAAGCCTGTGAGCCTGCTAGTCTGTACTGGCCGAGTATTTTCTGATTGATGTCTCGGTTGAATTATGCGTTTGTGTATTGTGAATATGTCTCTATGTGATAGGGTGCTTGTGCATGCTACGAACGGGTCACATCCGCGTTATAACGTAGAAGCGGTTGACAAAAGCTCTGAGGGAGTCCATTGGCTGAGCTGGGTGCGCTTGGCAACAGAGCGGCTTTCTGATTGGTCCCGCGACGCCGTGGCATCTCCCCCTGCGGCTGGCGACAGTCGGCGAGGTTTTGCGAGGGCACAGTCTGATGAGAAGCCATGTTCGTGCTGCCTGCATATGTGTTAACCGCCACTGTGCTGATCGTTAAAGAGTCTTATTTAACTGGCCGGGAACTGTAGCCCTGGTCACACGAGTCCGCGATGAAAAAAGAGAGGTTTCGGAGGGCACAGGAAGCGCTGGCTGCGAGCTTCTCATAGGAGGATTCCAAACATCCGTGAATCAAAAGCAAGTGAAGTTTGCTAATGCTACTAGACTGCTAATGCTAGCTCACTAGTTCAGACGGACATTGCGTGTGTGGACTCAACAACATCCTCCCTGCATTTACGTAATGTTGCTAGCTAGCTTTGGCTGGGCTCGGAATGCGACGATGTGCCATGTCGCCAGCTAAATTTACTTTTGAGGACTGCAAGTGAGCTAACTCGCGCTAGTTAGCTAGGGGAAACACTATTTTCACGGAACTTCGATACTTTAGTGACTTTTTCGTAGCATATTTAAGAGTAGCCAGCATATTTAGTAGTAGCCAGCATATTTATTAGTAGCCAGCAGATGTAGGAGTAGCCAGCAGATCCGACCCGCTTGCTTACAGCTGCACTAGGGTCGGACAGCCTTCCCATGTAGATTAAAAGCAGAGCCTGCGCGATATATGGCTCGGAAAACGTACCTCAATCCAGGGATGAGAAATCCGTTGTACTCCGAATTGTCCCATTATCCCAACTCTTACACCGAGAAGATAGAACAACTGTTAGTTCTCCGGAAATCTGCCCTTTTCGTCCTCATGCTAGGTAGCAGAAGCCACAGCAGCCATTTCAATCAGCTCCATTGTTGTTCAATGCGACGTGCCATTCAATAATGTCTACTGTTAGCTAGCATGAAGATAAAAACAGCAGTTTACTTAAATCTGCAATATAACTTTTTGGGTGACCCAACCAAATGCACATAGAAATGTGAGTAATAGATCTGTCATTCTCATTGAAAGTAAGTCTAAGAAGCAGTAGATCTGTTCTATGTGCGCTATTTATATGCTTCCCGTGCTTAAGTTTCGCTTTTGCGTCTTGTACACCAGCTTCAACAGTTTATTAGGTACACCCATCTAGTACCGGTCGAACCCCCCTTTGCATCACGAAACAGCCTGAATTATTTGGGGCATGGACACGTTGCTTAATTGGTATCAAAGGACCTAACGTGTGCCAGGAAAATATTACACCACCGCCACCAGCCTGTACTGTTGATACCAGGCAGGATGGAGCCATGGACTCATGCTGCTTATGCCAAATCCTGACTCTGCCATCAGCATGACTCAACAGGAACCGGGATTCTTCAGACCAGGCAATGTTTTTCCACTCCTCAATTGGCCCGTGTTGGTGATTGCGTGCCCACTGGAGCCACTTCTTGTTTTTAGCAGGTAGGAGTGGAACCCGGTGTGGTCGTCTGCTGCAATAGCCCATCCGTTTCAAGGACGGACGAGGTGTGTGTTCCAAGATGCTGTTCAGCACAGCATTGGTGTACTGTGCCGTTATTTGCTTGTTTGTGGCCCTCCTGGAAGCTTGCACGATTCTTGCCATTCTCCTTCGACCTCTCAGTAAGGAGCTGTTTTGACTCATAGGACTGCCACTGACTGGATGTTTTTTTGTTTGTCGCACCATTCTCGGTAAACCCTAGACACTGTCATGCGTGAAAAGCCCAGGAGGCAGACCGTTTCTGAGATACTTGAACCGGCACGCCTGGCATCGACGATCATACCATGCTCAGTCTTTTAGGTCACTCGTTTTACCCAATCTAACATTCAATCGAACAGTAACTGAATGCCTGCTTTATATAGCAAGCCACGGCCACGTGACTCACTGTATGTAGGAGTGAACTATTTTCGTGAACGGTGCCACTGAGTGTATTTCACAGCGGTTTAGATGGTACAATGATTCTCGACACAATTACTGCTTGTTTTGTCACACAAACTGAAATTCTGTGAACTATTAGAATTTTAGCAACCAGGAAACTGAGTGATTTCTGCATATTGCATTTACATTTATGGCATTTAGCAGATGCCAAGGGCACAGACATATATTCCATCTAGCCGGCTCGCAGATTCAAAGCAATGACCTTTCGGTTACTTACCCAACGCTCTTAACCACAAGGCCACCTGCCACCGTTCTCGGTCTAACAGTTGGGATAATGACACAATTCGAAGTACAATGCATTTCTCATCCCTGGATTGAATTACGTTTTCGAGCCATATCACGCGCCTGCTCTGCCATGTCTAAATGTACACAGGAAGCCTGTCCGACTCTAGTGCAGCGGTAAACAAGCGAGACTGAGACTGAGGTTAAGGTTAGGAAAAGGGGTTAGGGTTAGCGAAAATGCTCTCCTAACCTGCTACGGAAATCACTTTGTATCGAAATGGCGTGAAGAGTGTGTCTCAGTTAGCTAGGTAGCTAGTTATTAGTGGTGGAGGGTTTAGCTAGCTAACTTTTGAGCAAAAGGTTATTTAGCATGCTGTTATTCAACGAGTCGTAATGGTTGTGGATTCTGTTGTTAGCTTAGCCTGCTAACTTTACGTAGCTAGCTAGTCTGGTTGTTGGCTTCATAACAATCCAGATTGCTACTTTCACTTGCAGCCATATTATGGCAAGATATCGGGCTGGTGTGGCGCGCTATCAATTCGCATTTTTATTCAATCTTCAGTTAGCCGCTTTTAGCTAACTAGCTATTGTAGCTAACTAGCTTCTTAGCCAACCACCAGTAGCTTACAGTTATTTAGCCAGTAGTGGCTAACACAACAACAACTAGCTAGCTACCTTAGCTAGATAACTTTCTCCTCATCGTCTCCAGACCACCAGCAGTTGGTTTATTGGCCTGCTAGCTGCGGTCCCTTCCCCGGAGGCAAGCTGGCGGCCCTTCGGCTAGAGGCGGAGGAGAAGGAGCTGGGGGTCATGGCCTGGGTGCTGAAGATGGACGATGCCACCATCGAGTCGGGGCTGGTACACGACTTCGATGCCAGTCTGTCGGGCATCGGGCAGGAGCTGGGGGCTGGCGCGTACAGTATGAGGTTAGAGAGACTGCCTGATGTACAATGCATAAACAACTAGTTATATATCAGTGTGTCTGAACAGGAGATGGAAGGTACAAATGCTTTGAACTCTCTCGTTCTCCTAAACCCTGGCTGGGATGCACGCGATACACACACATGCTGTAGCCAGAGGAATTACAGTCATGTATGTGGTATCCCATCCCCTCTGTGTGGTATTGTGTCAGTGTGTGGTGTGTTCTTTGTTTTGGAGTGTGTTGGGGTGGGGGGGGGGGGGGGGTCTCACAACAGGTTGCTGTGGAGACAGAGGGCTTTAATAATAATACCCTACCAGACACATAAAGGGTGCATCAGCAGAATGTAGGGTACATAAACTTCCTAAACCTTAAGCACAGCCCAGGGGGGGAGCGGAGATAAGCTCTCCCCCTCTCTCTGGGACATTGCTAGAAGGCATCCAGCTTAGCCTAATTCCCCTAACCCGCTACGTTAATTCTCCTAACCCGCTACGTTAATTCTCCTAACCTGCTATGAAAAGTCAAACCTGCTGTTAATTTGACAAAAGCTGGATCCCTTCTAGCAATGACCGTCTCTCTGGGTGGCTCAGTGGCACGGCACATCTCGGAGTGATGACATCGTGGTGGAACTGTGGGGTTGCTATGGCAGCAATGGGATCGGATGCTATGGGGAGTTTGTACCAGTCTGTTCCGTGGTGGAGGATCTGTCAGTAACAGACACACAGTTATGAAACACCACCCTCACAGTCACCGCAACAGCTCCCTAAGTGTAAGAATGTGTGTGTGTGTGTGTGTCTTCCTCACAGATGTTTGTATCAGGGATGTTGTGTTTCTGTGGTAAGAGTTCCCAGGACTGTCCGCTGTCTTATCAAGATCCTGTCTGTGTGAGTGTGTCTCCATGTTTAGAGAGCAGCTGTGATGCTCAGTAAGAACAGAATGTCTCAGTTTGCCAGTGGAGCTGGCTCCTCGTGTGTCAGGAAGCAGGGGTGTATTCATTATGACGATTCTGTTGCAAGACTTTCTGCACGGGAAACCGTTTACTCCGAATGCTCTTCAACGTGACGTAAAAGCTGTTGGGTTCTTAAACGGAAGTTGTAGTTCATTTTAATTTAATGTTTTCCACGCGTTGCCATTCCAATAATCTGAACAGTCTGCGAAGTGTTTTGGCACAAGCTGCACATCTATAAATTATTGATTATTCTGTCCTCTAAAGTGGAGTGAAGTCCGCGGGGTTCCTTCCAACTTCTTCCAGCCTCTTTTTTTTTGTGAGACATGACTGAACCTCAACTTCCGTTTTAAGAACAAAATGGAACTTAATAGCTTTTGGAGTAAACAGTTTCTGTTGCAACAACGTTTTGCAACAGAATCGGCGTAATGAATACACCCC